GTATATCTGGAGTGTGTAACGAAAATAATTTCCCTCTGGGATTATTAAAGTATTTCTGAATCTGAATCTGAATCTGAATCCCTGTAATTTCAACCTATTGTTGTCCTCGCCCTTCTAGCTTAGGAGGCCAGTAATATCAGAGAGCAGGTGGCCAGTTATTCCTAGCAGCAGCTTAGGGTTGGTTGGTCTCTCTGGGTCCTGTTTCCATGTAGGTGCACAGGGCAAAATGCAAGTTTGAGCCTCTAAACTTTTCCCGAGAAGCAATTATTTGTTGGTGGCTGGTTACTAATAAACTCCAAACACTCCAAAGACAATGTATGACCATGGATATGTTTCAATCCATCACCATTTCCAAGTGTGCTGTGGGGAAACCACACATTAACAGCCAAAAAGTGTGCTGCCACATCCATGGCCCATGGTATGTTATACTGTGTTTCGCACTATTATTAATGAAAATAGTGTATGAAAACACTATGCATTTTTTACACCTTATGCTGAAAATTTTCTAAGAACTACTGAAAGCAGGATAAAGAAAACAGGCCATTTTCTCACTTTGTCTTCCCCCAATCTTCTGTGTTTTTTACATTTGTTTTACAAATAAATATATGTATAATTAATAATAATAATTGTTCTGCTTACATCACTGCGCTGATGGGCCACTCTCCTAGCCAGCTCCACTTCAGGAGGATCAGCCAAGGAGGTGTACTTGGCCTTGCGCTCATCATGACCCTTCTTGTAATGAACCTGTGGGGGGTACACAGAGGAGCAGTTGAAATTTACTGACGTGGTTATTTTTCAACATCAGTAGCTGAACTTAGAGCGCAGTTGTCCTCAGACAGATGGTATCTGCATTGACTGGTGACTTTTCCACATCAGCATAAAAGGTTACATGCAATTGTGTTCAAAAAGGAAAGAGGGGCACAAATGACCGTTTTAATTGGCTGCAATGTGAGTGTAAATTGCTACATATTATACATCTGACTCAGCACAAACAAATGAAATGAAAAATATATATATAAAGGCAGAGAAAATGTGCCTGTGTGATGGATGCTGAATGGCAATCTGCCAGCAAAGTCAGTGAGAAATCAGCTCAGGTGATTCTTTTTTTAAAGAGCACTCTCATGACAATCAAATGAAGTTGCCATTTGGTTTGAAGTCACAGCTTACCTTATTCATTGTTTTATCAGAACAATGATAGAATCACTGGGGTGATGTGGATATAGTCCTATAGTGTGTGGTATAATATTGAAGATACAATTAAAGGGATAAATACTATAAAAATGATATCTAATCAAATTGCCTCTTTTTTCCAGACAAATATTATGTTACAATACTGCCCTTTTTAACCCTAAAAATATTTAAACCACACATAGGTCCCAAATCTGAATGTTACACAGCATGTATTTTCATTTACTGCAGTTGAAAACTTACATCACTGAGGACCTCCTGAGCCTTGGCCACCCTGCGTAGCTCAGGGCTGTCACTGTAAGGGTAGTACATGGTCTTCTCTTCATCCCAGACCTCAGTGTAACGTTTCTGAACAAGGTGGAAAGTCACAAATTACTCCATGCATACCAAAGTTTTATAAAGATATTTTTGTTATATCAAATCATACTGTCTGATGTTTTTCTAATGTCAGCAAAAATCATTTTTTGGACATAATAAACACAGTGCTTGAATGCCACATTTTGTTTACTTTGCTGTAGTTAGCAGCATTCTTCACAGCAAGGACCAGCTCAGGAGCATCAGGAGGCAGCAGGTACCTGTCCTTAGTCTCATCCCACTTCTGCCTGTACAGAACCTATATAGATAGATAGAAATAAGCAACAGCATGCCATTGGTGTTAAACACTCAAATAATATTTTTTCAAATCTTGGTATATTGTTATAAGTTCAGGTGACTCACCTTGCTCATTAGCTCAGATACACGCTTGACATGGAGGACATCTTTGGCCTCCCCATCATACAAGCTTGTTGTCCGAACCTTATTTCCCTCCATGCGGTATTTAACCTGATGATGATACGTGTGATTTATTATTATACATGACTAAAGCAAGTTCAAATCAAGTTTGAGGAGCTGAGTTCTCTGTTTTAATCTTTATCTCTTTAATTTACCCAAAGAGAAAATCACAATGAATTTGTTCAGGAACCTGCTCCACATTCATACTGTCATACTCTGGCTAAAGAATAATTTGATTGGACCTAATTTGGGGGAAAATATCACCACAGTCCTCAGTATTACCTCGCTAAGCTGCTCCTGGGCCTTCCTGATACGAATCATTTCAGGGGTATCAGTGACGATGGCAGGAGGATTTGCTCTGGAAATGTCATATGCTTGCCGGTACTTGTTCTGTCAAGAAGTACAATACTCATCATATACACTGCAATAAAAATAACTAAAAACATAATTTTTTAAAACGAAGCAAACAAAACAGAGACGAGAGTTAAGCATTTATTTTGAACCCAAACTTGTTGCTTACATGGCTGAACTGCTCCAGCATCTTCTGGCTGTGGGCCAGGTATGGAGTCATGAACTTGGAAGTATCCACCTTGACCTTCTTCCTGACCTTCCTGGTGGGCAAGCCAGACTGGAGGAGGACAGAGGGAAATACAGTCAACTATCCAACTAACAAAAAGGCCTAAGTTCCTTGATTGCAGGAAACATACTGGCCAGGAAGTAAAACTACATTCACTTACAACAGGGGTGTCATCAAAGACAAGCAGGACAGTTTAACAAAATAAATTATCTAAGGTATTTTGCAGCTATAATGCAATTTTGTTGATTAAATAATCTGATCGTGTCATGGCGAAGAGAAAACTTGATATTAATGAGTGTGAGGTTACAGTATTGCTCTAACTTCAATGATTGAAGTGATTCAAGTCAAGACTTAAGGGCATATGAGTAATCAGCAAAATATTTAAATGGAATACTACATAGTAGTTAAGATAATGGCATGATTATGTACTGAGATAATACAGGATGAAGGGTGACTGAAGGACAAACAAAACCAACATAAGTAACAACAAGAGTATCTATAAAAATCTTGCACAGCATGCAATGCAAGGCTCAGTAACATGTATACATGAGGGTTACAGTATCTCATCTTTTGGGAAGTAAAGCCACAGGGAACTAAACTGAAAGAAGCAATTAACCTCCTAAAAAGCAACCATTTCTTTTTCACATTAAAATGCAAAATTGGCAAAAAAAAAATCGAATAAAAATACTTTAAAATTAGAAAATTGTTGAAAAAGAGTTTAATGTTCATGCATTATTAGTTGCTGTTGCTAACTTTAAAGGCTTTTAACATGAAAACCTGCCAAGACCAAAGACGCTCTGCCTTCAATAAAGCCAGACAGCAGTATGGCATGCAGACAAGGGGTGGTGCACCATTGTCAAGACAAGGGAGGGTTATCCTGTACTGATTGACGGACTGTTGTCCCTTGGGAAGAGGTGCTTTACCTGAAAGACCTGAGTCTTTTGCTCACCGACAGACGTCGTTGTAATCTGCTCAACATATTACAAATATAGGACACACTCTGGGGTTTTAAAACTGCCAGAACAAGTTATGGGAGAAACAGCACAATCATTTTATTGGATTGAGGGTGATTTTTCCACAGCTCTGGTCCTCATCAATTACTGCCATTGACACGCAAATAAGAAATCACTCTACGCTGCATCACATTAGTAGCTGTTCTGCCAAATGCCCTCAAACATCTCATCAACCCCATAAAAGCGGCAAGTGATGCCATCAGGGATCTTTGTCCTAACCTGTAATAAACTGATTCCTCCGTGTCACTGAAAGAGAGGGAAAATCCTCAGAGGTGAATATGCTGTAATTGTGACTGCAGTCTAATTAAGCCTGTATTCTACAGAGGAAAGAGATGCATTTATATCCTCTATGTTACGTGAGCCTGACCGTTCTCTCTTTGACCAAGTCTATAAACACCAGGCACTCACATGACAATAATTCTATTCTTGTTGTTTTAATTCACAGACCATTGTTCCTGTTATCAGTTGCCACAGCACACAGCCGTACACAAACTGTTTATACAGCTTTATAATCTCCATGTCTGTTCACACACGACTCTCCTGGGATTTAAGAACTTGTTCACTCAAATGACAAGAAAACTAATTTTCTCACTTACCTCTGGTAATATCTAGTCATGCAGACAGTTTTTTTAAAGCACTTTGAGACTAATTTGTCTCTAGGTTTTCTGTCTTCATGGAGTTTTAATTGTGGTGCTTACAGCAAGAATGGCATTTTAAAAATTCAACCGTGACTTGTAACAATGTCCTTGTTACTCAACAGAACAATGTAAACTATTTTCTTAGGAACTATTTTCTTCAGAAGAAGTAGTCCCCTGTGAAAACTGTTGACAGTTTTATCCAGAGTAACAATTATGCTATTTCTGGAAAGAGATGTTGCTGTTGAATTTTTTTAATGGGGCGTAAGCACCACAAATTAAATTCCATTCACTTCCATTGTATTGGAGTGGAGACACAAATCAAATATCCCAAAATCAGGGCTAATAAACAAAAGTTTCTGCATGGTTAGATACCCCTTTAAGTGAGTGGTAATTTGAGATAAACCATCTAGGTAAGGGGAAAACATTATTTCCCGATCAAGCACCTCAGACTACAGTAACTGACAGTATTCCTGCACATAGCATACTGTTCCGTGAATAGCATGTCTAACTTACATCTTGGCTGAATTACACTCCCCTATACTTAGGAACTATTACAGTGAAACATTTAAAGTCACGTAAGGTTGAATATTTTCAGACAAGACAGCTTTGGAGGCTAACCAATCATCCTTCAAATCTACTAGAAATCTAGAAAGAACCAGAGCTGAGAGAAAGAACATCTCAATCATTTTTATCAACATTTGTAAGAGGCTTCGATATCTGAATCGATCAGACAGGAGAGAACCATAGGTGTAGATGAAACACTCAACCGCTGTATGACACATCCCTACAAAGCAATGCAAAACAACCTGCCCTACCACCATGCATTTTTTCCATGTGTTCACCTGTCCTAAGCAAATTTCTAGCACAGTGACATTAACACGCTCCAGGCTATCAGAGTGTGATTTACAGCACGGTGGCTCGTCTCATTCCTCCCCCTCCCCTTCCTTCTCTCTCGCATTCTCTCCCTTTACTTCTCCCTCCACTCCATCTCTCTGCCAATGTGCCGTAGATGTCCACTTCTAAATTTGTCTGAATGCCAGACAGAGAACTCTACACTCCACCCCTTAACAACCTAAGGACCTATGTCATGTTTTTAGTTAATATGAAGAAAATATTAATGCTCAGGATTTATGAAATACAAATAAAACTTCTATATAGCTGTATTGTGTATTTTTAATTACAACAGCACTATGTTTCTCCCCATTCTGTAGATTAAATATGAAGCCGTTTTACCATTTACTTAAAACAATGCAAATTTTCTCCAGTGTAGATGAAAGTGCTCGTGAAATCAGAGTGTATTGAGTTTGTGGGTATCCATCTGTTCCGCCTACCAGATGATTTACATCTTTGCAGTAAAGATTGCAAATCTATTTGAAACATCTGATATGTTATATGGGAGCTAAATTATAACTAATTGCTTGGTATGTTTAGGTAACAATCATTCAGACTCCCCTATAAGATATCAGCAATATTGAGTATGAACAAATACAAGGCTAACTTTAATCCTATTTCACCAGGAAATATCGGATTAACCTGTTAGCCTTCTGTTTTCACTCTTCCATTGGACACTGACACAGAGACCTTCGCCAACACAATTCATACACATAATGAACTCTAAAAGCAGCATGGAAACATCCTGAAATTTGTGTGTTTGTTTGTTTATTAGGATCTCAATTAGCACCAGCACAAGCATTGGCTATCATCTTGGTTTAATCACATAATCTGGACACAAATGTGACTGGAACCTGCTGATGAACATCAAATTATGAATTTCAACAGGTCATTTGAAACAAAAGACAAAATGGTAACCTCAGAAACCAGCACCCCCCAAACTGTATGTTATCCAATCTTCATCTATGCTATACAGGAAGGATGCCATTATAATCTGGGTACCATTACAGCATTGCAAAACATGTTCATTGATATTAGATATGTTTGAGATAACTGACGACATGCTACAAAAATACAATTAAAAGAATACTGTAAAGTCATCTGCAGGAATCTGTGGAAATAAATGACTTTATCTTGTGCATCTGACAATGTAATGATTACGTCATTAGGCTCAATTTATAAAGTTGTGTGGCTGTCTGCCATAAGGCAAGGCCTCTGGTAAAGGCATCTGCACCTTCATAGGACAACAGAAAATGTCCCAGTAAAATATTCTATCTACAGTTTGAAATAGTTTTGATTTATAGTTGGTTGTTAAAGAGTAATCCAGGATTTAAAACCCATCAGAAGGTGTCCGTCTGAAACAGGATCCCAAAGCAGACATGGATGACTGGTTCCATGAACTGCTGACTGGATGGGGTCACTAACTTAACTATTCATAGGGCCTGCCACTGGACCTGCAGATCCCTGCAGATAATCTCAATCTACTCAATCAAATGAAATTATATCTCAGGTTTAGGGTGAAAACAACAAAAACTAATTAAGTATAGTATATAATTAAAGTAAAGGAAAAACAGTCTTGCATTTAGAGATAAATTTAGATTTATGTAAATAGCCCAGTGAAAAGATGTGCACTTACCTCTTCTATTATCTCCTCCTCCTCCTCCTCCTCAAATTCCTCATATTCCTCCACAATTTCCGTCATTATGGGACGGTTTTAGAAGCTCTACACAAAAAGAAGGGGCATTCATTATTCAAACTCTGAATGAACAAGGATTGGCCTCATAAGCTGAAGAGCATATTTTATGGGGAAGCACACAACATAAACGTGTAGCAGAGTTAACTTAAATGTTTTATCAGTAGCACAAAATCACAATTTCAAAGAGCATATACTGGGGCTTAGACAAGAGACCAAAGGACAAATGCACCATTTTAGGATGCTGCCAGCCGTCCCCTGTTGAACCCAATTACCCTATTCAAAATGTGGAATAATAAACAGCAAAGACATTCTAGACAAACATATGACCAACATAACAATTTTCAACCAATTAGCATGCCATACCAGCAAAAGATTTCCGCAGTATTTCCTGAGAGTAAGGAAGCTTCACTTGCCATCCACTAGGGTCTCAAACTGATAGTCCAACTTTGTGATTTGCCCCAAGCCTAAACAAAGTAATAAAAATGTGTGAAACACCTCAAAAACTGTGCAACAAATGTAAATCAGTAATTACACGGGGAGAATGTCAGATTAGGAAGGTGAGAAACTGAGTGGATTATAACAGGCCTCTCTGCCTTTGAATGTGTGACAGCCACCCCTCCTCCCTCACTTGCCACAACACAGCTCAAAGAACGGGGCCTCCTTGCTGAAGGTTGGCGACAGCTGCCCAACAGTGCTTCAGCTATTTGACATGTAAGCTAATGCCACAGCCTGATTGGTTGACTCTGTTTAGCAAACGGAGATGCAATGCCTTCTGAGGCTGCAGGTTAAATATAGGATGGCATACTAACTACCTTTTTTTAGCACTTGATTGCCCTCTCTTTGAATCAAAATATCATTTTCTCTGTAAAACATGAGAAATAGGTAGAACAGCTGAGGCAGAAGGACAAAATAGCCAGACAGGTGCTGAGATTTTGGAAAGAAGACAAGATGGCCAGACTGCTGCTGAACTTTCAGATACATCCAAACGTAGACTTGATGTGAGCTTGCTCGAGTCTTGCAGTTCTGGATTGTTTGGTTACTCCTTCAATGTGCAGCAGAGCCTTCACACTCCTTATTCCTCAATCAGCTGTCCTCCTGGATCCAGATGGCAGCACAGGATGGAAATGATGGAAGTCCGAGCAGATGGAAAGCCATGCAGGGTGGAGTAAATGTGGATATTTGGGCTTTTTCTCCCTATTTTTGCTTACCAGTTATATTAAAGTTTAATGGTCTCCCAAGCCGCCAAAGCCTCCCCAGCTTCCCTCCAGAGAAACGCTGGGCAACAGCACACAGCTGGTTTCTACCCAGGTTATCATGTGGCCGGCACAGCCAATCACAGGCCAGTACTCTCAGGTTTCAAAATCTAAATATACCTAAGTGATCCTTTCAGAAAAGAGCACCTGTTGAGACTAATGCATCAGCGGTACAGTTATGAGGAAGGCAGTGGGGCACGGGAGGTGGCGGGGGTCTCAAGAAAACAAGAGTAAACCCCAACTACAACAGTATCAATCTGTGTGAATAGGTGTGCGTTGGTTGTGATGTTGACAAATGCAGCTGTTTATTTTTATAAATGTTTGGAAACAGGTCTGACCATGGGTAAGGATATGAGGAGAAGGGTAGCTGAAGGCCTGGGAGGGCTGAGTGCCAGATCTGTTGAGGTCATCTGTTAGCTGACCCTGAGCTGGCTAGGTCCTGTCAAAAATCAGGTCAATATCAAACAAAGGACCTGTGAGATGGAAAATAAGAAACAAGTACATTCCCTGATAAATATAAGTCACAAATTAATAGCTAGTAGTATTTCAAATGTAACTGTGTCTGAAAAAATAAGTCTGATAAATCACTGATGCCCACAGGATTAAGGACAAAGCCTGTAAAAGAATAATGAGTCACCCTGGATAAGTCTTGACATTTGCTTTGGAATGAAGATTGAGGACATCTGACATGATACATTTTACACCACTGAGGACAGAATACTGCTGTGCTGTACATATATTTCTTTTAAGTTGTCATTACACAGTGGTAATGACAACTAAATTCAACCTTGTATGTTAACAAACCCATAAAACAATATGACAGCTCTCAATGCAGTATATATATACTTCATGTTATAAAAAGACTAGAGAAACTCCACTCAACCTCACATCATTATTGGCTGGTACCCGGATCAAAAAAAGTACATTTTACACATTTTCAAAGTTGTAGAGAAGATAGCTACTCAAGCATTACATGATCCAAGTGCATAAAAAGTATTTAAGGATTTAAAAATACATCAAGAACTATTTCTAGATAGTGCCATACAGTTGAGGTCCAGTGGCAGCTATGGTTTAATTTAACAGCAATCTATGAACAAAATCAAGAGGCAAATGGCTTATACTCTGAACATGTCGATATGGTAACAATATGGTAACACAAGACTTAAGACTAATAATGAAAAATAGACCATATGTACATTTCATCTCTTCAAGTGATGTGCCTCTATCTCTCTGGTATGTAATATCTTTGCTCTCACTCTTTGTGCCAGGAGCAGGGTGCTACCGAGGGACCAAGACGGACAGCAGCAGCTGAATGTCTCTCTCTCTCTCTCTCCCTCTGGAGAGTGGTAATGGCCGTCCATTCTGTGAGTCTGAATGGCTGTTGCTTGGTCCTCATTAGCAACATCATTGCAGCTTAGATCTCATCTAATCTGCAAAACTGAAGAAGTAGTTGTGTTTTAAAAGGTGAGTCAACCAAATTGTACTCGTGTTTCCACCATATATCAAGACAGGAAAGGCATTCAGTGCCTGAAATTAAGGTTTCAGTTTTATGTCTTTAAGTTTTGAGTTATCTGTCTTGGAGATTTCAGCCAAATATAATGGGGGAGTATGATGATTTGTTTGTGACAGCAACATGTTCTTCCACAGACAATGCCCTGTTTACTGTGGGTTTTCCAGACCTCACTGTCAACTGTTTTCACTGGAACTGCTTTCTAAATATTCCCTTTCATTAGGTCCCTTTGGTGGTTTGTTAGGTAGATTAGCCTGAGTAAGAGAGACTGTTTCTGGAAAGAGATGTTGCAGTTAAAAATGTAATGTATTTACCTCTATTGCATTGAAGAATATCTCAAGCCTAGGAATATAATTTTAGAACTATTTACCTAACTAGATACCACTAAGTGAACTGACCATTCATACATAAAAAAACATTTTGAGTTTATGATAGCAGGAAAGGATTTTTTAGGCTATGGAGACATTTGGTGGATTACATTTCAAGTTCAGACAAGGTATCATAGACTTTTAATGATTCTAGCAGTCAAAAGCATCATTAAGCCCCCTCCCTGGGTGCCAAGGACACCCGGGGAGGGGGCTTCATGATGCTTAGTCACTGGAAAAAATGAGTGATGACCAGTGAGACCAGAACACAACAGCTGCAGGATAGACAACCACAACATAAACACTGCCAACTGTCCACCGACACCTAGGAAAAAAACAATGAATTCTAGTGAAGTAAGAGGCCTAAAATGGCACCAATTACTCAGTCACAGAATGGCTTACAAGAACAGGATCGGTTGTACAAACATCTGCACTGACCTTTCTAGCTCTATAAAAAGCAAGTGATTTCTTCACTTCATTAATGGTGGTAAGCAAAAGCTGGACTGACTGAGTAATAAAATAACCGTTATCATCACTTTGGGATTTGGACAGAAATGCTAAATAGTCTATCATTACACAAACCTTCATTGTTGGTTAGATTCATTAGACCTGTGGAAAGAGTATGTCAATCAAAGAACTCAATTCTGCGGTCACATCCTCTGGGTGATTATAGTGTCTGACACCATCACTGACACATTACTCAAAATAAACTGAGGTCACACAGGTCTTCTGTCCTGCACTGTGGATTGGTGGTAAATGGATGCAATGCGTACAGTATTTTAATCAATTATTATAAACATAAAACTTACTGTATGTCAGTTATTAGCATTTTTGTTGATGTGGTATTATTTGGGTTCGACTTACCTGCCACAACACCTGACATGTTTGCTTAAACTGAAACACAAATAAATCTGACTGATAGCTGTTCACAGATGTGTGCAAATCACAGCAGTTAAATATGAAGCAGTTCACTATTGTGTGAGCTTCAGGAACAATGACAGAACAGACATATCGGTTCAAACATGTATATCAATAAATGCAGAATCAGTTTCAATTAGAAAAAGGAAAGAATAACCAAAAAATGACAAAATACTTTTAACACAAGATCCTCTTACTGGAAATGTTCTGGTGCTTTCAGATGTAATTTGTGGTCTTTTACTCATTAGCAGGTGGAGTTTGCTCAGTTTGGCAAGGACATGATCAGCAACTAACAAATATTGTCATTATCAATTAATCTATCTTTTTCCCAATTAATCAATAAGTTGTTGGGTCCATAAAACGTTAAAATGGTTAAAAAATAATATTGATCACTGTTTCCCAAAGCTCAAGTCGACCCAAATATATTCAGTTTACTGTCAGGTGAGAACTTAAAAATGTTTTCTTAAAAAGATTAATTGAATCAATAGTTGGCAATTAATCAGCTAATCAACTTATCTTTGCAGCTCTACTTCACACAGTAAGATTTAACTATAATATTAATAGTTCATTCATTTCTCCATTAAAATCTCCACATTTGTCAGTAAGTTCCATTGTTGAAATTAAGAGTGAAGCATAAAGTAAAGCAAAAGCAAAACTATGAGCTAAAACTAAGAGCTTTCCATTACACAGATTGAATTATGTAGCCATTAATGGGCCAGTTGTTACATACAAAAAAAACAGAAGAAATTATGATGAAAGGATAATATTACCAGGCCATGTGAGAAAATGTGTCATAGTATTATTGTGGCTTCAAATGACACATTCATACATAATGGTATGCCTGTTTGCTGACTTTGTAAAAAGCAACTTCCTCAAACCAACATTCCCACGACAACAGATCAACTAAGCGAGGCAGCTGAGTCACAATAAATAAGTAGAGCGGCTTTGGTTTGTAGTAGTTCAAATTCATTTGAACTGGATTCTTTGAAAATGCAGTCCTTACTATTCTGCTGTTTTCTTCTTCTCTTAACCACTCAATGCTCACATTTTGGACATGGTCTCTTCTTTTCTGCCTGAATCCCTCTGCTGTCTTACACTCTGGTTCTCTCTTCTCTATTCTTGTGGGGTGAACTATGAGCTCATGTGACACACTCTGCCCCCTAAAGGACTAAAAAAAGAATAGCTGAAGTTACAAACACAAAACGTAGTACAGTTCAACTGTATCCCTAGAGAAAGGTAAATTGTGCAGAAGCAAAGAGCAATCTTGTAAATCACCTGAAAGAAATACTCATTCATGACACTCTGCAATTCACCTGAAACAGATAAAAACACTTTATTTCACTGATTATTCATAGAGACTGAAAAGGAAGAGGGCATATTGTGATTTTACCCTCCTTTCTGAAGGTTTCAGTCCCCATCAACCATCATCGCTTGAACATTCTGCTGCAGGCACCACGTTAAAAGAAAATACTGGACTGTACACACAGGGGGGCAATAAAAACCGCCACAGCCAGTCCGGCAATACTGCAAGGCCACTGTGGGCTAGACTCACACACAGCTGAAGAATAAGTCTATGTACCATTCCAACTCAGACACTTTGCTGACCTCTGTGTTTTGCTGAAAGGAAAACCGTGCAGAAATTTCAGTTTAAATAATTTCAGTCTCTTTTGTTGTCCAATGTCCTTCTGAAAAGGTCATGTTTGTTTTTTCTGAGTTCAGACGTCTTTTGTAAAATAAATTATCACAGAAGATAATATAAGGTCCTGGCAGCGGTCTGCCCACGTCAGCATCACCAGAAAGAGTAGAGGGCCATCCATCAACCGACCTCATGCCCATTCCTCATTTCAAGCTTGTGTTTGGAGGCAGAAAAAACAAAGAGCAAGGGTGCACTCTTGATCAAGGTCAAAGGTCATCATCTCACACGCAGCCGTGACATCATCCACTCAAGACCCTGGCACAACCTGGAGGAGAAGCCATTGGGAGGGTTGTAGAGGATTGGGGATGTGGAAGAGAGAGGGATAGAAATGCAGATAGACAGGCATTAAGATAAAAAGCTCTGCATGTATACTGTATAACACTTTTCTTACATAAAAGCACAATGGTGTGAGTAAGAATGAAAATAGATGCAGTTCTCACCCCTCCCCAGTGAGGGCGCAGCAGGCCTGGATGTGCCACTGGTGGTCTTTGACAGAGGTAAGCTGGAGGCTCTGGGAGATCTCGGCCACAGACATGCAACCTTTCACATCTTGCTTGTTGGCAAAGATCAACAGCCCTGCTTTTCTTAAATCCTGGAGGGCAGATAAGAGACATCAAGAGAGGAGACTGTAAAGAAATATGGACTCAAACTCCCATTAACATTACATGGAAAATTACTTTGATGGCTTTGACTCAAAAAGGTATACTCACATACATAATTCTACAACGTTTGAGTTATAGATGAAAAATCTGCACTCTGCATTAACCAATGTGTTAGTGTTAACTAATCATAATTCAGACTATAGACCTGTTTAAAAACAAATTAGAAGTGCTGTATAAATAAAGTTGAGAGTTGAGTTTTACTCCCATGTTTGAACACATTAAAAAATCTGTATCAGATAACCATAATATCTCAGATGTACTTTTTAATAGTTTAATCATTGTTATACAATATGACGGGCTCTGATTTTAACTGCTGCAATGGTGGTCATATAAAGTTGCACAGGATTTTAGCATTATTTGCATCTGCTGGGGCTTTCTGTTTGTTTTAATGCAAACTGACAGTGCTTTGCATACTGTATTTTATAATATTTATCATTTTTGAGCGCTCCCCTAAAAATATGAAACAGCAGACTTCTTGTTCTTCTTCAAACTTCTTGTTTGCTGTGCTAAATGCTAACTGATATACAATTGAATGTGGCCTTTTTTTGTAGTAATGGTTTTAACCTCAGTTTAATATAATTCAGAGTTAAAGTCATTTTCCATTAGGTATTGACATTACATGATATTTGTCTACCCCCCAGGACCTCCAACATGATTGACTGGTGTATGGCAAATAAACCAAATATATGCCAAAAAATGTCATGACCTTCTTTCATGATACTCACTTCATGTGCTAGCATTCTGTAGAGTTCATCTTTGGTCACTGAGATCCTTTCTCTGTCTGTGCTGTCGACCACCACAATGACAAACTACTCAGAAAAGATGGAGAGAAATAATGGGCTGTTAATAATTGAATACTGCATCTCAGTCAGACTGGAATACATTATAATGGGAAGTTCAGTCATTTTCAGCAGACATTCAAGTATTTAGAAATAATTGTGTAACAGACGTATAGTGGCAATTTCTTTGTGATGGAAGTGAAAAAGAATTTAAAAAGTCTGATAATAAACACATAAATCTTGATGCAGATCCCTTTTTTAAGGCTGCTTTGATTGAACGGTTATCAGCGGATATTTACTTCCATAGTTTGACTGGCGATCTCTATAAACTCCAATTACAAAAGCCAAACAGATGATGCATTCATTTTATTCCATAGGAAAGTTAAATTTAAGTTAAACATTTTACAACTGAAAAATCAACTCAATGGTAAATGGACTGTACCTGTATAGGATCTTTCTAGTCTTCTGAGCACTCAAAGTGCTTTTACACTACAGCCACATTCGCCCTTTAACACACATTCACACAGCGATGGCAAAGTCCATCGAACAGAAACTCACTCATTCACCTGGGAGCAATTTGGGTTTCAGTATCTTGCTCAAGGATACTTTGACATGCGGTGGGAGGAGCCGGAGATTGAACCAAAAACCTTCCGTGGACGACCCGCTCTACCTCTGAGCAACACCCGCCACATAGTGGCACTGTTTCAAAACTACCAAATCAAACCTATGGTGGCATTTCTGTACTGCAATTTCTCATGTCTTTTTGGCCAACATATAAACAAAAATGATGATATATCTGTAAAAGGGCTGCCACTCCCACCCGTTGATGAACTTTTCATTAGTGGGATAGTTGAAGAAAAACAAAAACAAAGTCAAACTCCACTCAGGAGCTGCGCCTTGTCACCAGGATGGAAGTATCAGGGCATTTAAACACTACAAGCGTAGGAGCAAGGGACCCAGCGGGGACGGAATGAGCAACATACTGGAGCGGGGCACGCCAGCGGGGGCCAGCTGACTTACATCCGGCTCGTTGGTTCATGGCGGGTTGAGGCAAGGACAAGAGAGGCATCGAATTAATTTGTAAGTAACTCTTAACGTTATACATCATCCATTGTATGGATATGTCCGGCAGTATTTGTTTTTGTGAAGCTGGAAGTTATTTAGTCCGTTTTTTGAACAATGAGACTTAAAAACTGTGATATTTTACTGTGTATAAATAAAACACTAAATGTTCAGTCTCCTCGCTGGTTGTTCAGAGACCTTCAGAATCATTTAACAGGCAGATGTTAAAATACATATATTGTCCAAGTTATCGGTCTGGCTTTAATTCAAACAGTTCTACCTATTGCAGTTGGATGCTGAAGGAAGCATGACTGTTATTTTGTGATTAACAGTGAGCCAGAATAACCTGCCATTACCTCTGTGTTTGTGTAGTATGTGTTCCACGATGACCTAAGGGACTCCTGGCCTCCAATGTCCCACATCAGAAAATGGGTATTGTTGACCACAATCTCCTCCACGTTGCTCCCAATCGTAGGAGAGGTGTGTACCACCTCGTTCATTGAACTATAAGATACAAAATAAAATAAAAACCTTTAGATTGTGGGTGACAAAAGGAACATTCATAACCTTTTTCATGTATTATATATTAAACGGATGGATACAACTGTGACAACATATAAAGAAGCTTACTAAAAGTGCTATATTTGGATACTTACAACTGGTAAAGAATTGTGGTCTTGCCAGCATTGTCCAGGCCCACAATAATAACCTTGTGCTCTGAAAGGCAATAAAGACACTTACAATGAATTCACAGAGCTAACAGGGACATCAATATGTGGGCTAAGTGCTGGTGACTGACTGCTGTATAAGTCTTATGTAAACTTAGCCAAGTCCTCTGTTTAAAAGATGGCTTTTGATGTGGAACTGCACTGAGCGAGTCAAACAGCAGCCCCTTTTTGTGTTGGGCATTTTCCTTCAGTGCCAAATTGTGTAGCTTCACGCATCTAGCATAACTGAGACACTGCGGTGCTGTGAACAGTGTTCCACAGCTACAGATGAGTTGGTGGGTGGTCTTAAGGAACCAGTCAGGCTGAATCCAGCGTCCATATATTTTCTCCCTCTCTGTCCCTCACATACAAAGAGGTTTTACCTGTGAGCGAGACTAACAGCGTGTGACAACTAGGATGGATTGCTGTCTTGCTGTTCAGCAAAGTGACAAGAGAACAGTAAGATGTCCTATAGTACGCAAGTACAAGGACAGGATAAATGTAAAGGCGTGCTGCTGGCGATAAATCTTTCTCGACATAATACCCAGCTTCAAGCATCAACGGCACTGAAGGCTCTTTCTACTTCTTCTCTTTCTAGGTAGAACTTAATTAGGTTGCCATTTCTCTGTTCCTGTGACAAGAATATGGTGACATTAGTTATAATTCTCTGAAACCGTTTCTGCCAAGTCAGCCAGCTAGAAGGAAGGCCCAAAGTGTGTTGGGAAGCCAACACACAGGGTTTGATGGAGGTTTTCACCAAACACACAACCTCAGACATCACCTTGAGCCTGAATGATGGGATACTACAACAAGTGACAGCATCAGCCTGTTGACTGAGACTGACTGGTACTTCAGCTTTACATACTGCCGGGAGTACATTTATGTTCACACACACAGATACAAATCAGGTTCAAAAATGCAAGAATGAAGAAATTGGCAGCAATTCAGTCCAGCCTTTAACCGGTGGAGACAGTGAAGTTAAACTGAATACAATGAAATGATTCATAAGATGTGCCCCGTAATGTTTCTTCTGTGGATTGGAAATAAAAATAGTGCTGGCTGACAAATAGACTTCTTCACTAACTCTACTAACTTTGAATTTCCCCATTGTGGGATAAATAAAGGACTATCTTATCTTATCTTATCTTATCTACCAAACAATTTTACAAAGTGCCCACACCTCTCCTGTGTGAAATACACCTTCAAATCCAGTGAAATTAGGAGCCAAACCCAGTACACAACCCTGCCAAATCTAATGTTGTGCCTGTTAAAACCTGATGTATGTACATTACTATATACAGTCCGGTTACAGCTGAAAAACTAAAACCTCAGGAAAGCTAAGGAAGTGAAAGCAGCACAAAAATTACAAAAACAAAATTACACAAGTGTGTAAATGTGGGCCTTATCGATGCAACTCTAGCATGTTGAACCAGAAGGAAAGAAAACAGCTGTAGAGACAAGGACTAATGTTATTTCAGCAAAAACATAGCTTTAGCAAACATAACAGCCTGCATCCATAGACATAACACACAGCTTAGTAAGCTGTGTTTAGTCCTTGCAGGTCACAGGTCAGCCACTGGAAGAGACTGGGGCAAATAAGTCTTGTCTAGAATAAAAAGGTCATGCAGGTGCCAGCTGCTTGCACACGTTCTGAAGAAACTGTTAAAGTGTTTACATGTGAGCACAGTGGCTGCACTGGTTTCCTGTCACACTCCAAAGTAGCAACTCATTTTTTTTTTTAGATTATTCTGTTTATTATTATATTATTATAATTGTTTGGGTTAAGAAATGTCTGAAAGCATAAAAGTGTAAAATGCCCATCACAACTTTAAGATCATGTGAAAGCCATCAGCAAGTCTGTGACCATCATGTTGAATCGGAGTTTTCTACCATTGCCCTAAAGTCTTTTACATTAAGCTGTTGTCCTGGAATATGGATGACCACGTTTGTAATCACATGTCCTTCTCCCTGTGAATGAACTTCTGTTGTTGCACTGGGTTGAATCAATCAACTGGGGACAGAAATGGCTTCCAGAGACTTGGAAGTGCTGCTGGGGCGAGACCCAGGGGTTACAATAAAAGCCTTACAGACTCCAGTGACATGATGGATGGAAGCGAAATGGAGCGAAGCTCAGAGAGAGGCTCTATTTAACAGGCAACGACGGCAACAACTAATAATTACAGTTTTTGAGAATGTTTATGTCAGAGAGCGGTCAAAGGATGTCTGTCCAAAATGTTTAAGGACATTAAATGTTGGAGAGCAGACGTGCGACGAGCAATTCTTTTCTTTTTCGAGTGATATATCAATTACTTTTTTGATTCATTTGTCAGCAAATTGTGAAATATGCCCATCACAATGTCCCCAGTGTTCCCCAATTACCCTAATGCGGCCTCTTCAAGTTATCTGTTTTGTCCAACCAACAGCTCAATACCTGAAGACAGTCACTTTACAAGAATCAAACAGAGATAAACAGCAAGTCAGGGGGTATTTTCTGTCGACTGACTAATCAATTATTAGTTTCAGCTCTAAGGTTGGTATGTTAACAGCTAACAAACCTGTCTGCCTGCTACTTCCCAGAAGTCACTAGTTTACTGCAGTTTGGTTCACAGCTGTGTATCTATGCAATGTACTTTGAGTCATAACCAATTCAAACTGAACATCGTAGTCGTATGTAGGGATGTCGGCCTACCTGTGTTCCTGACATACCACTGATCAGGTGATGTGATTACAATGGCAGTACAAAGTCAGTGTGATTCATTGATCCTTATTGGCCCGAGCATTGTGCTGATGTGGCTGACTTCAGTGTACTCTGCTTGTGTAGCCACCTCCGCTCACAATACGGGTCAACCGGGCTCGAACATACGGCGGGACTCATGTTACAGAGATTTCGCAATGGCCTACCTGTTTACTGATTCAAGATCACTAGCCGAGCATCGACTTGGTTTCACCTAACCTTCGCTCCAACCCCAGAGAGCATAAATAATCCAACACTCAGAGAATGCAGAGTTGGTACGAGACGACATACTTCACCAGTTAATACAGTCACAATAACGCTGTGTGCGCGGCGTGGTGAAACAGATAACGTTATTATTAACATCGTGGAAACAAAATAAGACTTGGTTATGAAGGGACATGTGTAGAAAGCTGTTGCCCGGACTATTATTAACGGGGAGACCTGTCTCTCACAGCGGGCCTTCTCTGACCACCGAGCCCACTTAGCTTCCATGTATTCGACAGTTTCATGATAAATGTCTCGGAAGCACTCTTACCTTGGTGATTAAAAAGCCTCCATAGCTTTGTAAATAGTATTCCCATGGCTGATGATTAGGTTTTCTGCTGCCAGCTTGCAGGAATCCGCTGTAACTTAGCTAGCTAGCGTTGATGCTATTCAGTGCTATCAACTTTAACTAGCTAGCTAGCTAGCAAACTACACAGACGAAGAGCTGCCAAAGCTTTTAAGTACAACCGCCATACTTCTGTGAATTAATCTCAACTATGTCGCTCCCATAGGATGTAATGGTAAAGTCGTGACGGTTAATGTATTGCCGGAAACAAACCAAACGTCAACCGCTGTGGTTAGCTGGCGGAGTCAGCTGGCTGTTGTGAAGTGCGCTGCGCTAGTTAGCTGTCAACCTTGCGCATGCGTACTAGCTCGGCCCTGTTGGTACAAATGATATTGAGTGAAAAGCATTTAGAGAGAAGAGATAATAATGTGCTAAATACAGACATATGTACATATGTTAATCCGACGATAAATATGGAAGAATACCACATATATTCATATAGGTATAGATATTACAGCAATAATAGGAATAATACAAATTTATCATTTTCACGTAAACTAGATGCGGAATATTACTTGTACATAAAACTATAATCACCTTATCATCATCTTATCATAAACTATATTGAACGATTATATTTAACTGAATTAAAGGGTCGATGAACCTACAGAAAATATATCAGCACCATTTTTTTTCCCAGCAAAACTGGAAAAAAAGGGAATATTTGATGAATTTTGTACTGTTGCTCAGAAATGATATCACCTTAGGCTCAGAGAAAATGTGATTTTTCATTACTTTCTGACATGTTATAGACCAAATGATTGCTTGATTTATCGAGAAAATATATTTTATAATAGTTTTGAGGCACCTAAAAATATCAAGACA